GGTGCTCCGGGCCGGAGCAGGAGGCGCTGCCCGGTCTGTGCCCGCGCTGCTTCCTCGCCCTCCTGACCGCCCCGGCCAGAGCCCGCCCTGCGCTCAGCGCGGCCGCGCAGGGGGCTGGGGGGCCGAAGGGCCGAGGGGTCAGTGCCCTTCTTTAACCTTCTAATGGGGAATGACCCACCACCCGCCTCTTCTGGGCATATGCTCGGGGTCACTTTAAAATTATTTTTTATCTCACCTTAGTGTATCGATTGTATGTACTGTTAGGCAAGGTTGGTGTGATCTGTGAACCTTTTTGGCCTTGCCTGGTATACACGCTAGTGGTACTTGCTGGCAGTGACCTGAAAAAAGACGCAACTTGGGCCTAATTACGGTAGTCCGGCCATGTGATCCTTGTTGGCTTCTGTACCCAGTTAATGCTGGTGTGACGTGGATCAGTTGCTGCAGAAGAGGTTTTCTTAGGTCTGTAAGATGAGTCTTGCAGAGGAGTCCCACAAATTACAGGATCTTTCTTTGCAGCCCCTGCCTCTCATACATTTAATATTGCCTTTTGCAATTTCATTAATTATTTGAAGCAAAAGCAATAAGATGTAGATACACCTGTATTTTAACAGTTCCTTGCCTTTCTCAGGCTGTTTTATCTGCAGTGTAGGTATCATAGCTGCTGTCAACATAAGACCTGATAAAGTTGAAAAGCATGTAGTTATGTGTCAGAATATTTACTGTTTTTAAGTAAAAGATTTTGTAAGTATCCAAGAATCCCATGGGTCTTTCAATTAGACAAACTTTTTTTCTTAGCAGTATATGAAAAGGAATATTTGGGCAATGTGTTTTTTTTCCATTTTGCAAAAGCTAAAAAGAAAGTTGAAAGCAGTTATTTCTAAATAGTCATCTGTATAAATATTTATGCAAATGGTCTCTTGTTAGTTGTGGGATCTTAATACTGGCTATTCTTGTCATTTGGACTGTTTTTTCTGTTGTAGCAGATAATATTTTAAAGGCTTGGCTTAAGGAAAACACAGATGGTCCGTTATTCCACTATCTTTCATCTTGCAATTTTGGCTCTGTTGATTTGTTGTCTTGCTACAATGTATACAGTACAGGTGTTTACAGAAATGCAGTGTGAGTTTGTTTTGAATGCTCTAGGAAAGTACATTGAGTGTACATAAGAAACTGCCCATGTGGTTACAAAATTGAAGCCTCTTACTGAAATTGAAATGTTTACTTACTGTGCATGAAGATAGTATTTATGACTGAGGAATTATAATTTTATTTTCATTGTGGCAGACAGAAATGTTTGTGAATATTGATAATGAAATGTACATCCCAGTTAGTTATGAATTTATAAACACAGCTTTACATGAGATGCAACTTTAACTGATGGAAGCAGCAACCTGTTACTTCAGTGAAAGAAAGTAAAGACACAGTCTTCCATTCTGAAAACACAAGAATTTTCTTCAAGGTCTATGATGTAGAGAACTAATCCAATTTCCTACTTACCAAAAAGTTTCCTCCAAATATTTGAGAGCTGGGAATACCATGGAATAATTGGGGAATGAGAGGAAGGGCAAAATAATATGTGTAATCAGTTTTTCACCTGAATATTTAAAGATTTATCCTGTGAAGCATGTGGTATATTTTCCAAAATGTCTTACAGTTTCATATCTCTTGAAATCCTTTATGTCCTCATGAGTTCTTGTGAAAGTAATTCTACAGTGGAATTGTGTAACACATGGCAATTACTTTTATTTTTTTAGTTGCCTATCTGTTACTTTCTTTTTGTGTCCTTTTGCTCTTGTGCTGTGAAATAGGAAGAACAAACCTGTTTATCATATTACTTTTTTTTCTCTCATGGTTTATTGTTGTTCTTTGTTTTTATTCTTATTTTTCATCCAGTGAAATAGATGAAGCATTTGACTCCATCTTTTTCTAAGTCTTTGACCGTGTACATGGTTCTTCTTTGAACTTTTTATTTCCCTCCCCCATTAAGTTTTTTAAGATATCTTGCACTTAGGACCAGTGTCGTGCATCATTATCTTCTGTCCACCAGTCCTGGAAGGCATTTACTATAGATCAAGCCATTTCTGTGGACGGCTACTATACTACTGTGTACCTTAAGTTTGTAAGAGTTCACGTCATGTTTCCAGATTTTTGTCTTTTTTTTGTTCCTTTGTTTTCTGTCCTCTATTTTTTTTTCCTGCATCTGCATTTTTAGTTGGTTTGTTGTGCTTCAGTGGAAAAGCCTGTTGCAGCTAATACAAAGCTTTTCAGCAGTGTAGGTAGTGAAATAAGCAAAGCATAAATTTAAAGGTAAATTGTGTCCAACAGATAAGCCTTCTGAGCACTACCTTTTAAAACTGGTTCAAGTCTGCAGTGTCTGAAAATAAACTCGGTACTATGTCCATGTGGGTGCATTCCACTGTGCTGGTCAGTTATCACTAGTGTCTTAGTTCTGCTGCCTCAGAAGGAGCTGTTGGTAGTGCTCTCTGGAAATGATGGAGAGCTGTCTTGAGGACACATAAAGAATACAGAACAAGGCTTGAAGTATTTGTGAAGTGTATTCTGAAATGACTTTGCAGCATACATACAGCTGCTTGTTATTTTATAATGGTTATTGATGATAATTTTAAGGTCAATTGTCTTCTACCACTAAAGTGGGAGATAGAAATCAGTGTTAATTAATGATGTAGACATGTGGAGTAAGAGATAGGCAGAAAAGGTAAGGTTAACATAAGCATTTAGAAACACAGCGTGGTTCTTCTTGTAAGCCAGGAACTATTGCAGTTGATAATATATTTTATGTTATGTAATGTAATGAAGGTTTTATTTATTAAATACCTTTTGGTTGACTTAAATAATTAGCTATTAATTAATTTTCAGTGAGGTTTTTAAAGCAACAATTACAGAAAATTATTAGGTGTAATTTGGAAAAAAAGAAGGTAATAACAATAGGGCTTGGGTTCTGCTTGGTATAGTTGTGGATTTTATTATTTATTATATCGCTTATTTGCTTTATAGCAAAAAATAAAGATAGTCACCTAAATATAAGGATTTAATCAAGCTTAGAGGTTCTTATTTTAATATAAGCACTGAAAGACATCAGTTGACTTAGCATTTCCAATTTTGTTTGTACTTCTTCCCTATTGGTATTATCAGAGTTAGGAAGACAGATTGATAGTAAGTGTAATAGTGGTGCTATTTTGAAGATGATACAAGATTGACAAGAATTGGACAAGAAATTCCCAGAGGCTTGTGTACCTGAGTTAATTTGATAAGAGAAGTTTTAAAGCAAGAATTTGCAGCTGTATTATTTGGTGCAGCATTGCTAATATCTGTTATGTGGTAAAGAAGATTATAATAGTCTATGACTAGCACTTTGAAGACACATTCCCAGTTACAAACTGCAGGTAACTTTTTTTTGCAGCTGCTTAGAAGCATACAGCTTTTATGTTGGTAACTGTCATAATAATGTTGTCCTTTTATAAATAAAAATTAATCAAATCTACTGTTTCACTGTTACATCAAGCAAGTACTAGTGAAATCAGTCAATACTTGTGTTAAAGTTTAGAAAAAGAGACAAGGCTAATATGGTCCAATGTTACATAATATTTTATATTGTTATTACTATGAGGCATTTTTTTCCTTTTTTTTTTTTTTTTTAATTTCAGATGGCAGGATTAAGTAGGCTTCTTAAAGTTTTAAATAAAAGGAAAAATAACTCCAGTGGAAATTCAGTGTATAGTAGGTATCCCAACTTTTTTTTCCCAAAAAAATCCTCAATAATTTTAAAATGTAACTATGGAAATGTATTTTCAAACAAGGGAAAAAACCCCACAACATTGCTCAGCAAAGTACACCATTTTATGTGCTAGAGGATAAAAAACCCCAATAACAAATTGCAGATTCAACATATGAATATATCTGTTCAAGGAATTGTTCCAGGCATTTAAGCAATTTATTTGTAGCACCACAGTGATGAAGAGTTTTATAAATACAGAACAAAACCCTCCCCATGGCTGTGCTAAACACTGTAGGTATAACACAGGAGATGGATGAAAGTTAGTACATAGGTATTAATGTGAGTTAGTAGGAGGCTTTGTTTTCATGCTGAAAGT